ACCTGTGTTTCAAACCCGGAGCCAAAGCCTCATGTATCACATAAAATCCCACACCAGTGTTTTACAGCCTGACCTGCCGTCACTGATTCCTGTCAGATGTCCTTCACTAAACGGCTCTCATGGTCTCCTCATCCATGTCATCGGCATTTATGCTGGAACCAGCTGGTGCTATTTGTGGGCCCATCAGACCTACATTCAGTGTTCATAGCAAGCGATACAATACAGTTTTTTCATGGGGCAAGAACAGAAAATTGGATGTGGTGGCTTTAAGAATTAAACCCACAAGATGTAACTTTACTATCTTAGTTTGTGCGTATTTATGTATGAGCTGTGCACAAAAAGTAATAGAACAAGAGTCAGAATGAATTAGCAAAGTTACCCAGTATCCCAGTAAGACTGCAGAAAGAGGTGCTTTTTGCTTTTTTTATTATTGCAATGTCAGCATAAACTGCCCTTTCAGCTTCGGGTTTACCTTTGTTTTTTTGTATTTTGGGGGGGGGTCTGGGGGTTTGTTCTCTTTTTACTGTGTTCTAGTTGCGTGTTTCACTTCCTCTGCATTTGGCCTGTTGTTCTGGTCACTTCCAACATTCTTTATTACTGTTTGTGTATAATGGTTATGTGTCACCATCTTAATAAAACTCTTTGCATTTTGCACTTGGTTTTCTATTATTTCACATAATTTCACCATCTCTGCATTCTGCATCTCTGCAGCCCGACCCTAGACGTGGTCATCACAGCTTATCCAAGTACATGGCCCATGTGAGCTGACAGTCTGACCCCGTGGGGCACGATAAAGGCTGTTTAGTGACCCAAACTCACCTTTAGACCATGTGGAATCCCACACAGACATAGAACATGCAACCTGCACACCAGCAAAGGGCCCGATTCAGGCCCCCAACACTAGAGGCTTGAGGCCATTGCGCTGCAGATTTGTATTTATAATCTAGTGATGTTCTAGATCCTGAAAAGTGGGAAGTTTTGGTTAATTCTAACATGATAATCATTTTGTTAAAGACTGCTCTCATTGTGTTCCATCGCAGAAACTTTCTTGTAAAGGCAAGAACTCAAAAGCCTTTGATGGATCTTTTTCAGACTTTTTATAATCATTGCATGGGAGGTGACCGGAAACTGATTACATTTTTAGACAAATTGACCCAAAATTGAAGCAACGCTGCTTAGTCGCAGCAAAGGGGTGACTGCAGATGATGTTTGACCTTGTGAAAGTGATAAGAGCAGATCGATCCACAATGAACACTTGCTGACAGACTGCAATTTCTGCCAATCCCACTACCTTAAGTAATAGCTCAATGGTGGTTTGCAATTTCAAGCAGCAAAGAAGGTAAAGTATTGGACAGTATAACAAATATTGTTTCGAAAGTCAGGCCTTGAGGCTCCAGAGTCTCCACAAGCCACGTCAAAGATCTGCAGACAAAATCAGCCTGGTCTCTGTCCCTCCCTGCTTACTTTGTAAGTATGACCTGCTGTCACCCTTCCGCATTGACTTATTACATCAGAATCCTGTGCTTTTAGTCAACATAGCATTTCTCTCATACGCCTGCAGCAGTTGATCCATTTCCATCGTCCTTTGCTGTTTTGCTAATTTGCTCCTCAATCTAGAAAACCAGCCCAAACTGGGTCAGAACTGAACCGCTGGACAGCCACCATCCGGGGTGCAGAGACGCGAGATGAGATCCACGCAGGGGTCGGTCCTCTGGTTGATTCTGGCCATCGGAGTCGGTGAGTTTGGAGATTCCAGCCTGCTGCTCTGTTCTTGTTTGGCTCTCACACAAACGCCAGGGTTTAAAGATTCCTGTAAGTTTGTTTCCTTTCTAAGAAATTTCTTTTGATGTTCCGCAAAGTCACCCAGTAACACTGAGGTGCCATATGCACATTTTTTTTTCTTTTATTTATATGCAAATCAAAATTTCATAAGATAAAGAACAAAGAGATGGATTTTGGTGAAGGAATGTGAACGGGTGCTTGCCGGAGTGCAGACTTCACATTTTGAGCAAGATCTGATCAAGAAGTGTGCATCCTTCATGTAGTTAAGAGTATCAGTGCTAACGTTGTACTGCTCAGCTAGCTGTAGAAAAATCTAATGAAAGTAATATACTTTATCGAAATGTCTAGTTTATTCTGCAGGGTTTTAAAATGTCTATGATTCATTGTTCCTGCTTTTTAACTTCTGAATCTGCTACTTATCCAATGCATAAAAATAGAACTGCCTAAACACAACTATGTATTAATAAAAACAGGAACAGGACAGATTAACTCTGACATCTTCTCACACGGCTTTTGCTGCTGAGGGAGTATCATGCACTGTCAGTCACTGCCTGGTTCAGCCCAGCAGCATCAGCAGTCGCGGCACAGGGACCAGGGAAACAAGCGAAGGA